GCCCCTCCTGCGACCCTTATCATTGTTTTGCCCCCGTCGGGGATAGGGTCTAGCCTGGAGGGAGCGCCTCTGAGGTGCCAGGGTATGTATCCCTAGCGACTTCAACGTCGCTCTTGAATCCTTCAAGCTATGAAGCTTGGAATCAGTCTGCTCTGAAAACAAGCCCGGCCCCTCAAAAGGTAGGTCCTGAATAATGGTCTGCACCTCGGGCGGGATGCCAGACACCTGCAACCATGCGCTACGCCTCATAACCACCCCTGTGGCCATAGTGCGGGCAGCGGAATCTGCCGCGTCCAAGGCCGCCTGGAGGGACGTACGCGCCACTACCTTTCCTTCCTCTGTCATAGCCCCAAACTCCTGGCGAGATTCAGGGGGAAGCTGGCTGACGAATTTTTGCATTGATGCCCATGTGTTAAAGGGATAACGCCCCAGAATTAGTTGCTGGTTAGCTATATGTAGCTGGAGTCCCCCCGTGGCGTAGGCCTTCTGGCCAAGCAGGTCCAATTTCTTGGGCTCTTTTGCCTTCGGGGTAGGACCTGGTGGCCCTTGGCGCTCCTTCTGCCCCGCGGCCTGCACCACTATGGATCCAGGAGCTGTGTGGTTAAAAAGATGCTCGTGCTCTGCTTGGGGTACGTAGTACCGTCTCTCGACCCCCTTTTGGGTCGGCGCAATGGAGGCCGGCATTTGCCACAGGGTTTTTGACAATTTGTCCACCGTTTTATTCAGTGGAAGCGCCACTCGACCAGGGCCCACTGCCACAAGAATGTCCACCATAGGGTCTTGGTCATCATGGACCTCCTCGTGCTGGACCGCTAGGTTGACTGCCAGCCTTCGGAGCAGCTCCTGGTGCGCCCTGGCGTCCAGCCTCCTGCCCTTGACCGATTACCGAAGGTCTTGGCATCGCCACCATGGACGAGCTGTCTCCAGGCGGAGGGGCTGTCAAAGGGGTGGCAGATGGGGTGCTGCTCCTACGGGACGACCCTGCCACCGGCACCGTAGGGGGAGGCCCCTGGGCCTGATGGTATGCCCAGGGCGTCCAGAATGACCACTGAGGTTGCCCTTGCCACTGCTGCTGGTCCACTGGTTCCCGGTGAGATGATCTGACCGATGAGCGAGACCTATGGCAGGATCGTGACTTGTATGATGACCTGGCCGATGCCACCGATTCGGCCTCAGACTCCGAAGAGTACTCCGATGCCGACCACGGAGGCGCCGATGGAGCCTGCACCTTTCGCTGTGCTGCCATGGCCGATGGCTTGCCCCCGTGCACCCCTTGCTGTAGCTGTACCGTGCCCAGCTGTATCTGATAGGCCGGTAAGTAACCCGCCGGTGCCGCCACGTGCTGCGGCACCGCGGCCTGCTGCTGGGTTGGCACTCCCAGGGTGTGAGCAGGGATCAGTGCCGGGAGAGGCATCAGTGTTGGTGCCGTGCGGGGCGCTGGCTGTGGCACCGCGGTCGGCGTGTAGTACGGTGCGGGACCCTGCACCGCCCAAGGGCCCATCTGCGGCACCGATCCCTGCACCGGTACCGGTGCCGCTGGCGCCGCAAGCGCGCTCGCTCCTGGTGCCGCTGCTGCCAGGAAGGGGCCCGAGGTTGGTGCCGGCGCTCGTCCCGGCGCTGGTGCTCTTCCCGGCACCAGGAAAAGCTGCTGCTGGGCCGAGGCCTGCCCTTCACCCAGAGGGTCCCATGACCCGGCCGTAGCCTGCTGGGGGGCACTTGAGGCCGATGCCGGCGCGGTCCGCTCCTACAGCATCGGGCCCTCTCCTTCGTCCACGGCCATCTGGATGAGGTCCCGGGCCGCCTCGAAGGTTTCTGGGGTGGAGGGACGACGGACCTCTCCTATCCCCGTGGACTGCCCCGGGCTCTTGCCCTTGTCTGGGCTGCACCTCTTTTTGGAGGCCTTAGAAGAGAGGTGCCCCACCTTCTGGGCACTCCTCTCTGCCGAGCGTCCCCTCGAGCTCTTGGAGGCCCTCGGCACCGGGGACTGCGATCTGTGCCTCGGTGCCTTGTCAGTCTCAGGACGATGCTTGGCTGACGCAGGTGCGCTGTGGACAGAGTGAGGCCGCTCCTTGCCCTGAGGCTGCAGTGCCGATTCCATTAGTAGGAGTTTTAGCCGGGAGTCCCTCTCCTTTTTGGTCTGGGGCTTAAAGCTCTTACAGATAGAGCAGCTTTTAGCTCGATGGGCCTCACCCAGACACTTTAGGCAGTCGGAGTGGGGATCTCCTCAGGGCATAGGTTTAAAGCCCTGGGGCCCTGGCATGCCCTCCCCTCACGGGCATGTGCTCCCCTATCTAACTAAATATTTACAGCACTTAACTACTTAACTAGATAAAACTTCAACTAGAACTATAATACAGGAGATAAGGAATACAGCTGCTAAGAGATAGGCTAACAGCCTGAAAGCATGCTCCAGCTACCGTCCCGGGCGGTAAGAAGGAACTGAGGGGGTGGAGGGGCCAGCAGGGGTATATATGCACCGGTATACCGACGCCACTCCAGGGGGCTCCCTGCTGGCCCTATGGATACTGCTAAAGGAAAAAAGCTCCGGAATCCGTGCACGCGGCGTGCGTACACCCAATCAGAATGGACATGAGCAAGCACTTGAAGAAGAATCTAAAGCAGCTTTTGAAAATCTATCATATGTAGATATTAGACTGCAGAAGAAGGAAGGGAAAGTCTTCCTTGAGATGAATCCCCACTGGGAACTCATTCATGATGTCCTGATACCAGTGGGAAGCATGCCTCAAGATGAATAACAGTAAACTTTAACATTCAAAAAATTAGAAACCCATTTGTCACTAGATGTACAGGTTAACTAATGATATTTCGGCACAGTATTTAAAACCAAATCTCTATTTTTAAAATATGTTAAAGGGAATAAATTGCTGATGAATTGCTGTAACACAGTAATCTCAGAATATACAAAATTCACATGGAGTATGTTTGTTTTTATATTAATTTTACCCCAGAGGAAAACGAATAGAGTTGTTTTTTTTTTGTTTTTTGGCAACCACTTCAATATCTGAAACAGGCTCCAGGTTACTCCTCTTTCTGATTTATTATAGTTAATTTTATAACCCGACAAGAGGATAAACAATAGATTATGTATTGCCACCACAGGGTTGTATACTTTAATATTAAGTGTCACTAGCATAAAATATGGCCTGGTATTCCTGTTGACCTGTTCTTAATCCAGGCATGAGAATGTTTTGAGATGTCTTTTCTGAAGCCCTGACCAATGCTAACAAATAACCAATGAACAAATAACCATCTAGCACTTCAATCTAACTCAGAATGAGGAAATAAGTCTATTAGTTATGACAAGCTTTTGTAACTAAAAAGCAATTTAAGAAGCTAGTACCAATCTAATCTAAACTAGGCAGCCAAGCCAGATTTATATAGGATCCAGAAAAAGCAGATTTTTTGATCACAGGAGAAGTAATAAATAGCCAACAGATATCTCCATGAAACTAAGGCTGATATGTGATCTTTGAACAAAGCCCTTCTGGTTCAGGCATATAAACAGAGGGAAAAACTGGTTTCTGATCTTTGAACCAAAATCTTAGCCAAAATTTTACTGTCCTATTTGCTACAGATGTACGTCTATAATTCCTCTATTTACTTGTAAGTTTTTGTAAACCAACTTAAATTGGCCATGTGTAAAGTAGATAGTGCTGCTGGCCATAAAGCAAGTCATTGTTTTTCTGAAAATTATGCCTCAAATGTTCTAGTTTAGTAGTTATCTGTGTAGCTGGGAATAAAAATTCCCTCCACTGAGGAATTACTGCTAGACATTCAGTGGAGCACGTTATTTAGGAGGACAACTAGATAATCATAATTTCTCACTCTGGCCTTAAAGTCAAGTTCTTTTGGACAACTGCTAACATTTTTTACCATGTTTTTCCTGTACTTTTCCAATATTCTTACTCATTTCCTGACTGGCATTAGTTATTACAGTATAAACCTCTTTAATGTTTTTTAAAAAGCTTTGCTTTTACTCTGTGCTATTGTGTGTTCACAGCACCAGAGGGATGATTAACATGCTATACAGAACGTTTAGTGTCAAAGGTGCTTCAATCCTTTTTATGCCAGCAAAGTTTTTTTTTTTTTAAACCATCACAAAACAGTTTTCTAAAAGGTCATGGTGAAGTTTTCTAGCACCTTAAAGGCTTTCAAGATGTGAAATATTCTATGAAAAGGGCTTTGTTCACATTCCATATTCAAGAGGGTTCAAGAAGAAATCTCCCCCATAAATTCTCATGACAGTGTTACAGCTCTGGTAGAAAAAGCCCTTCCTCTTCAAAAGTAATGTAGTGCAGGAATACTTTGCACTGAGTAATTCACACGACAGCAAGGAGCAGTTGTCATCCTTTTATCACAAAAAGAGTTAATTTGAGAGAAGACAGGTAGTATTTATGGAAACTGCGTGTTCAATCCAGAGTCCCTGACTATATAGGTCTCATCGTAGCTCCTGGGATGTTGACTTTGTAACCCTGAACCTCTGGCATAAAGTCATAGTTGGATGTTACCTTATATTATTACAACTCTAAGCCTCGGTCTACACTAGACCAGGCAGGTCGTCTTACGGTACACCATCCAGCTATGCAAAATGTGTAGCTGGATTCAGCTGAGCAACCACAGCGTCTACATTGCAGGAGGCCAACAGGAAGACATGCTCTTATCAGCTTCCCTCACTCAAAGAATGTGGAGTTCAGGACGCCAGTGGGGGCTGCCTTCAGGGTTTGATTTTGGGTGGGGGGCAACACGAGGCTCGCTAAATCGAATGCTAGATAAACCTCCGGAGGGTTGATCTTCTCCATAGTGTAGACGTACCCTCAGGGAATTTGATGCTGTAATTCATTTACCATCTTTCATGCAGCATTATGATATGTGCTGCAATTGTGTATTCTTTAGAAGAAATGGTTTCTTCCAATTGTCCAACAAAGGAATTCAATACTGAAATTGGTAAATCCAGCTGATTACAACCACAGAAAAAAAGCTATGTTTGTAATTTCAAGTTTTATTTCTATATTGATGAAACACATAACCTCTTTCAAAAGAGGCAGCATCTGAAGAGCTGTTACAAATATTCTTCATATTCTATTGCACATCACAGGTTTGGACATTGGATAAGCACAGTTTCACATTATATGACCACTTTACATTGCATCTGGACATACAAATTCAGTCATATTAAAGGTAATTTACAAATCATCTGACTTCATGTACAATGGATTATATTTCAGCATCTTCATGCAAACTTTGTTTTTAAATAGTTGGCATCATTTTTTGAAATACATTTTCTTGCTGCAAAACAGTACATTTTCACTAACTTGTTTTTAAGTAATAAATTACAAAATGTACCAATTATTTTGAAAAGAAACAAACATTAAATATGTAATATACAGATATCTGTTTATAATTACACATTTACTAAAGGCAGTAACATTCCTAATACACTTTCATTACCTAAAATGGGGGAAATAGATTACATAAAATTGTTTTCAATCATAGCTATCTTTTCATATTTCAATCTTGAAAACATTGCAATCAAATATTAAAATTTTATTTTCTTTTATGCATACAAGTCCCTTTGATTTTAATGGGAGTTTTGTTTGCATAGTACAAAGATTTTTTTGCCCTTAACTTTCTTTAATCAGTACATGAGTTTTAGTTTAAAATCCCCTACCAACATGGAGGGAATTATCTAGCTAAAATCTCACCATGATACTTGGAAAATTAGTGATTAGTGTCTAATATTGTTTTGAACATCACAAAAACAGATGCTACAAAAGTGCTTTTTTCCCAAAAGTGGATGCATAGACTTGTTTCCTTATTTTACACAACGTGTTAGTGTTTTATCACTGGGGTAGTTTAAACAAAACTGCAGTACTTTTTGTCTTACTAACATATACAGGCACACAAGAATCCCTAATTTTCTTCTCCCTCTCAAATATCCCAGGTTATGTATTAACAGGTAGTCTTAAATTCCCATTGTAATCTATAAGTTTTCACACGGAAGTACTGTGAATGTCGATGATATCCTAGAAGCTTCCCTGTTCTAGAGAATACTGTATGTCCATGAACAGTCAAGGAGTCAGAAGTTATTGAGTTCATTTGAATAAGCTACTCCCAAAGTTACAATTGTTAGTACTGTTAAAAGTTCAAGTCACAGATCTTCTGAGGTTTTGCACCACTCACATTTGCCAAATTTTATTTTTTATATTTTATAGAAGTCAAGGAGTGCAAGCAAATTTCCAATATATATGTTTCCAGTATAAACGTGACAAAGAACACATGGGAAAAGCACAGCACTAAAAGGTTATTTTTAAACAATTTCAGATTTAAGACATAAGCTTCAGTCTATTATACAATTTGGGCCCAGAACCATTTTTAAAAACTTCTATCCTTGCATAAGAGAATAAAAGTATCAATGAGGTTCTGGTGTACGTCACACTAGCCTTGTATGACCAATATAGCACATATTCAAAGTTTGCACAACTTTTTACTACGTTCCTAAATCACATATCATCCATCCAAAGGAGCCTTTTCACACTTGCATACTTAAACAGAATTGTTCCAAGAATTCTCAAAATTTCTGAAATAATTTGATGGTTTAACATGGTAAAAGTGACAGTATTAGTGCTTATACCTTGCTTCTCTAATCCTCGCTGCAATTTAGGAGTCATGGTGCGCCATGTATTTCATGAATCCCCCTCAGATGTGAATGACTTCATCCCATAGTATAGTAGATCTTCATGGGTTCTTCTGTAAAAAAATTCTGCAGAATTGAACTCTATGGTCATGGTCTGGTCAAACTGAAGTAGTCAAATTTAGTCTGATCCTGAAGAATATACACTGGACCTTTGTGCTGATTTACATTTAAGTGCTTCAAATAACTTTGCCAGATTACTAATGGGAACTTTGCCAAAACTACAAAATGCAAAACAGACCACTTACTAGATACATTATGCTTTAAATAATTGTAGGAGTACTGCCTATTCCAAATTCACAAACTCCTCACATTTTTGAAGAATGGTGTTTTGAGTGATTACAAAATTGCTTTCTTACACTCAGAGGCTTTAAAACTCAGCAAACAGTACATCTGTCTTCCGTCTTTTCTTTATAAAATTAATTATTAGCAGCTTATTTCTCCTTTGCAATATGTAATTTCAAACAGCATCTCAAATTGTGTACATGTATGTGGCCAAAGACCTCTTGACAATATTGTCTCTTTAGATGAAAAAATAATGGCAAAATGGCAAAATAATGAGGGTATCTGAAGAAACTTGCAAGGCAGCTTCATACCAGTTGTCTTAATATGTTCCATACCCTTTTACACCCTTTTATACTTCTTGGATAATGCTTATAAAAATAAGGTTTTTAAAACAAATCTCACTATAGGATAAAAATGCTTTCAAAATAAATGGTATAGTCCACACCCCAGAGGTTTAAATTTGTGTAAATATCTGATCTGGTAGAGTCCATCATCTTTATTCAGATATGCAACGTGCTAAAAATTACATCAAGATGAATGACCTTTAAAACTGCCAAAGTGGAAAGAAATCACAAACATGTTATAGAGAACCAGAAGAGCCAGTCAAAATATGCTAGAATCCCATGATCTGAAACTCCCGTTGTTTCAATATCTCTCTCCAAACGGATTTAGATTCTTTTAACCCATATGCTTTTAAAGAAATCACAATAGTACTCAAATATATCAGTCAGCGGAAGGCAGTGTACTCAGGAAGTTCTTACCGTAATAGGGAATGAAATCCAGAAATGCTTCAACAAGTTGTGGGCAGTCATGCTTTTTGTAATAGTACCCAAAAGCTGTCAATATTAGCATTCCAATATCATGATTGCAATGAAGCACTGGTAATTTTGGTACCTTTGGATATGCTCAACATCCACAAACAGCAAGTCTGATATTTAACAGTAAACACATTTATAACTAGCACAGTCCACCAGAATAATCGTCATCTTCCTCATCAGCATGGGAACCACCTGCAGTTGATCCTGCTTTCTCCTGTGCAGTAACTGGTGATTTCTTCTTTGTTCCTCCTCCAGGGACAGCCAAGCTAAGACCAAGCTTGGCATACTGAAGACGATAACAAGACGACAGATTAGTGTCCATGTTGTCATAGGGCTAAATCCCACTTGCTTTTTTCAAGAAAGAATCAAACTGAAGTAAGTGAGACTACATACCTAAGCAAGGTGAGCAGGATTTGCTTCAGGCTATTCACTACATTTAAAATGGCAACAATCCATTATTTTGGAGCATTCTGTTCCAATAGCATAAAAAGACCAACTGCATATACTATTCTCTCTATGCTAAAGTGATTCAACATGTATTATGAATTCTGCTTCTTTATATAATAATCATTGCCACATTGCACAGAACAATTGACTAGAAGTTTAAGATAAGCATGTCTCGTCAATGTTGGTTTTTTTTTTTTTTTAAATGTGCAGCACTGTATATTTAAATCCATTAACCACCACATAATTAGCTGACAAGCTTTTTTCAATCAAGATTAATTTATTAGGTGAAAATTAATGAATATGGTTAGAACACGTATACTAGGATGATCAAAAATTTCCATTACTGCCTTTCTGTCTTAAGTCTTCTTTCCACAATTTGCAAATATGCAGGATTGGTTCTTTTTTGTTTATGAGTTTTGTTTAAACAGCAATTATTTTCTTGAAAGGAAAAAACCAAGACATCTTTTTGTAAAACAGAAAATGGTCATAGTAATTTACTGAAAAATTACAGTACCGCTCGAGAACTAAGCAGTGCTTGCAACTTCTCTTGCCATCTTGTCTTAGTGCCAACCCACTGATTTCTAGCTAAAATGGATTTGCACGAACAGTATAGTTTTTCTGAGCGGACACATTGAGAGAAGAGTTTTCAGCCCTTGTTGCAAACTCAAGTGCTATTCAACAATATTCCAGTCAATTTTTCAAACAGCCCTACTAATACCATAAGAAGCAACTCATTCATCTAAACCAGAGGTGGGCAAAAGGGCCTCCGCGGGCTGGATCCAGGGGGCACCCTGCTGCTCCCCCGCCCCCAGGCCAATTAGGGCCTGGGAGCGAGGGAGCGAATGAAGCCTTCTCTGCTCTGTCCCCGCCCTGCTTACAGCACGTGGTGCTCCAATGCGCTGTGCACTGCTCACAAGGCAGAGTCAGAGGGGAGAAGGCTTTTCACACTCTCCTGCCCCCAAGCTTGAATTGCCTGGAGGCGGGGGAACGCACAAAGCCTCCTCTCGCCCTGCCAGGAGTAGCGCCATGCACTGATCGCACGGGGAAAGGGCTTTGCCTTGGGGGTGGTGGAGCATGCCAAGCCTCTTCTAGAGCATGGGCGCCTAGTGGGAAGGGGGACAAAAGGGCTCCCCCACCCCCAGACCAATCATGGTCTGGGGGTGGGGGCGCCCTGCCCCTTCCTGTTTAGGCCCTGCCCCTTTCGGAGTGGCCAGGGGCCACTTCAAAAATTTTTGAAGTGGCCCCTGGTAAAAAATTATTGCCCACCCCGATCTAAAGCTTCCAGATGAGAGAAATGTGGAAATTTGTAAGTCGTGAGCAGTAAAGTAGACAATATGAGATGCTGGGAGGAACAAATCCAGGACAAACAGAGTAGCTCCATTTTTTTCCTCCCAGAAAAAGTGTTTAAGAAAATGCATATGAAATGCTAACTTACATCATTGTCCATGTACTTGAAGAGAGGTGAATTACAGACATCAGAAACTTGATCCTGGTCCTGGTTGTCATATCCTTCTAGAAGCTGTTCTAGTGCTGTACAATCTTCACTCCCATTGAATCCTGGTATACTAAATGAAACACAAAATTAATTTAAAACATTCAACTCTTATCCTCTCACCGCACAAAGTTCTTCTATGTTTATGTGACGCTGATTAAGAACAGAGGAACAAGCAGCTGTAAGGCTTGAGTTTATAAAATTATAAAATGTTACGCTGTTGCTTAAATAAGTCTCAAAACCCAGGCTGAACAAAAATGTCTAATGGCAAGAAAAATGTATTTTTGAGTAGATGATCATTTAACCATTCAAATTATAAACAAATCTCAATATTTTTAATAGTTAGTCACCTTCTTGAGACTAGACAGAAATTACTGTCCCAAAAGGTAGAAGTACCTTAAATTTCATAAGTTTCTATTAACTAGTGATTATATGCTTCTTTCATGGTGCATGTTTAGAATCACACATTTGGAATTAGGCATGTGAGACTTAATTAGACAAGGGCCATTTTAGCCTGTCTTCAGAAATTGTGCATTTTCAAAATTCTAATTTCAAGATAAAAAGTGGCAAGAAAATGGCAACAGAACATAAATTCAATTGAAGGCAATCAAAAAGTCCCTTATCAGTACTGAACATAGTTATAAAAGCTATTCTCTACCTATTTCAGATACTAAATGAGGCAGTACTTAAAAGGATTAATTTTGGGGAGGAGGGTGATAGAACTCCAACAGCAAGAATCCTGTATTGTTTATTCAGCTTTTACTAAAGCAAAGCAAACAGATCATATGGGAAGGAGGAACAAAAAAGGGGAGATAAATTAACTTAACGTTTTTCTAGCTCTTCAATTTTTAAACAAATAGCAAATCAATATAAATATGTTCACTGTTTATTTTAAGATTATGCATGTCTTGCTATTCAATCAATGGTATATTAATAACAATCTGACAATTTAAAAACATTTTTCAAATGGGAGCCTTTCAAAGAACACTGCATTGTTATTCCATAAACACTGAGTAAAGGCTTAAAAACTGTGGAAATATAGCATTGTGATACAGCTCTTTAATAAAGATTGATATGAATTAATCTTTACCATAAGCAAATTTAAGTTTGAAAACAATGTGGCAAATATATGCGTACCTGTAACTTTCCCTGACACATCTTTCTGCAGCAACATAGTCATGTCTATGAAGATGAACTAAGACTTGAGCAATAGTTTTCTAAAATAAAACAAATGACTGATCACTATCTTAAATTTGCTTACTGTTTTACTTCTATTATTAATTGAATACCGTAAGTCCTGTACCTTGTTCAGGATAGATGTAACAAGATATGCCAAAACCAATGGCAAAATTGCTCTACACATTTCCCTGACCCTCATTCCCAACTGAAAAAAAAGTTATCTGCACCAGCTGTGGATCTGTCCCATTTAAAAAAAGTAGAGGAAAATCAGAATGTCCTAATTCTGTTTTATCTGAATCTTGGTTTACAAATTCAGAACTGAAGACAAAATTATTCTAACAAGAATTTTGAAAAACTACTTTTTTGCTCAAGGTAAGCAGTCAGAAAATAAGTTAATGCATTCAAAATAATGCATTAATTCAAAAAGTTAATGCATTCAAAAAGTTAATGCATTCAAAATATCTCCTCCTCCCAAAAACACACATTTAGAAAACAAATTAACATTTCTCCCATCCCACAAAGCCCAAAGGAATTATTTAACTGTATTTGCAGGTTCAAGTACACAGATTTTATCTTTTAACATTTTCAGTAAGTTTATCAGAAAGCTGTCACAAAATCAGAATGGCTTTAGAGCTATCTTCAGCTTTTTCAAGACTATTGTACGGATGCAAGAAAGTTAAGGGGATGGGTGAAAGGAGGGGCAATCCATCTGGAAGGTGTTCATCTAGCAAGAAATTTATGCTAGACCTCAAAGCACAGTGTCATTCACTTACAGGTAGCTGCAGACTCACAGGCTGATCAGTTTCCCCCTCTGCATTTCTATTTTATAAAACAGAAATTCACTCAGGTATTTACCTTGTAACATGTTGGATAATTTTCAACTTCTTTATAAATACTTTTCTCCTTCTGAAGAGATAATGCAGCCTCATCTAATCTAAAAAAACATGAACAAAAACAAATGGAAATGTGAGAAACTAGTGTAGAGAAACTACAGTGATGAGATCTTTATGATGTACACATTTTATTTTTTGTAGGTGGTAAAGAAGGCGCAGCAGCTGTAAAAGTATTTCAGTAGTCCACCTGCAGGCTATTAAAAAAAGTTAATACTTGCATCTTCTAATCAATTTTTTTCTCCACACTGAAAGAAGTCACTTTTTTTATTTAATCCACTGGTATTCAGAACTGTAGTAATCTAAACACTGAACCATCAGTTTTAATTTGGTCTCCAATCTTGAGAACATGAGTGTAACACTGCGAAGGTTAAAAAATATATATATATATGTAACTTTCAAAAATCCTCTTAGTGATTTTTGAGTTACCAGGTAAAATACTAAAAAGAAATCCAGAAACCAGTGCTTCAGTGTGAAAGCAATCCAGTGCTACACATTAGTGAAGTTTAGTTTTATATTAATGAGAGTACCAATAAATTTATGTACTGTACTTTTCAAGCATTTCCATCCCTGTCATTGCCAGATGCCAGACTTATGTGAAAACAAAAGGTGTAATCTTTGAAATCAACTCAACTCATTCAAGGAAGCCACAATCCAGGGTACATTACTTTGTTAAAATTAAAAACACTAATCTTGATGAATTGGGAATACCCAAAATTGCAAGAGACACGCAGATAGGGCACACTCCTGTGAAGAGCTGAGGTTTGGTCTAATCTAGTGTTTAAATTAGGAATGTTAGATATCGATTAATTTAATAAGTATGTAACTGCATCAAATCTTAGCAGTTACACGATTATTTGATAGTCCCTGGGGGCGGGGCCGGCAGCCAGTGCACACCAGCCCTACAAGAGACAGCAGCGCAGGGTACCAACAATCCCTATCCACTGGGGGGAGGAAGGGGAAAAGGAGGCTCCCTGAGGATAGATGCTGCACTGGCATCTCACAGAACAGCCTCTGTCCCCCACCTCCTCCCACCTGTCTTCCTGCATATACCAGCTCCTGCCTGCCCCAGTCACCCTCCACACTGCTGCCTCCCCTATCAGAGGTAGGGGAGGTGGCTGCACAGCATCTGGTGCTCGTGGGGAGCCGGTTTAAAAGCTGGCTCCTGCCATCCCACCCTTGCTGCCTCTGATGAAGGCAGCAGCATGGAGTGGGGGGATAAGTTGGAGCCGATAAGCTGGCTCCACAGAGCCGGCTGCCCCTCCAAGCAAGCAGGGGAGTGCATGTAATCAATAGGATTAACTGATAAGCCCAGGAGTATCAGTTAAACATGTAGTTGACTACAGGTTGACATCTCTAGTTTAAATATTGCTGGATTCCACCAGGATGTTCACCACCCCACGGGTGTAAATAAAAATAATGCAAAATAGAAAGGAAATGGAATGCTTACTTGTGAGCTTTGTGCACTTCTGTTCCCTACAATGATCCTTGCTCAATAATATTTAGGTAAGAAGTACATCAAGGATAATGACCCAAGAGCTCACACTGGAACTCTGGAGGACAGATGCACTCAGGACATTCATGATACATCTCATCCAAAAGCTAACATCTTTAGCAGCACAGTATCAGCGTCAAACTGGAAAACCGGTTCTTCGCTGACTGGAAGGGACAAATGTCAGCTACTGAAACATCAATTTATCTGAGAAAGTTTGGCACTACCCTGATTTTTTTCATAAAACTCTCTCTCTCTCTCCGTATCTAAATGATATATTTTAAACCACATTTGCAAATGACAAGACTGCTGTTTGTTATAACCACACTCACCTTAATCTACATATAAATTTAGTGAAATAAAATTTAGCAGGACTGTCCAAATTTTCCATCCTTTATATGCCTGAGGAATAAATACATTTGCAATGTGATCACAAATATTTTTAATAAAAGCTTTCTGGGTCTTTTCAGAAAAGAAAAAGAAAAAAAGAAAAAGAAAAGGTGATTTCTGGTTGCAAAATATGACAATAACCCTGCCTAATACTCTCAAGAGGCATTTTAAAAATTTTTCATATATGTACATATTTATCAAAATACTTGCTAGTCTTTTGTAACATTGGTGCAAAAGCCATGCCATTTAAGAGAACTTATGAACTAAGGATGTTAAATATCGACTAATTGACTAATCAAATAGTTGATGAATTTTGCATCGAGTATTCGATTTGTCGAGAGCGCACCTCCACCTTTGAAGTGTAGCAACAGCTCTAGGGCCGTTGCTACCATTCAAAGGCAAAAGCGTCACGTGAAGCCTAGGTCAGCTGGAAAGGCCCCAGCTGATCCCAGGCTTCACGCAGTGCTGCCACTCTAAAATGCCGTGAGAAGCCTGACACTGGGCATTTGCTTACTGGATAGTCAACTAGTCCTTCACATCCCTATTACAAATGCTACTGTTATGGTCTACTATATTCCTTTTTTAAGCATAGAAGAGTGCTTTAGTTTTGAAAAATGCATGGAACCAAGAAACATGATTTAAAATTAGCCACTCTAAGGGTATGTTTACACTGGTATGTCTACACTTGCACCCTAGTTCGAACTAGGGATGCGAATGCAGGCATTCAAAATAGTCAATGAAGCGGGGATTTAAGTATCCTGCGCTTCATTAGCATGATCTCACCGGCGCATTACTCCGAATGCCAGCTGTTTCGAAAGTGAAAGTGTGCACCAGGACGCATTAGTTCGAACCAAACCCCTTGATTTGAACTAATGTTACTCCTTAAAAAATGAGGGGTTTGGTTCGAACTAACGCGTCCTGGCGTGCACTTTCACTTTCGAATCAGCTGGCATTTGGAGTAATGCGCCAGCGAGATCATGCTAATGAAGCACGGGATATTTAACTCCCCACTTCATTGACTATTTCGAATGCCTGCATTCGCATCCCTAGTTCGAACTAGGGTGCAAGTGTAGACATACCCTAATAGAGGCACAAGTTACATTTATCCAGTATAAATCACTAACTTCAAAATAGTTATTTGGAGTATGTATGCAAATTATTAATTACTATAACTGAATGCATTAAGGACTTCAAATAGCAGCTAAATCATTCAATATTACTCACATAATTATTGGCGATCATACTTATTTCCCTACCAAAATTTCTTTCACCCAAACTCATAAAACAATCAAAGAATTTTGATATTTTAGACTGCTACCCTTCTGAAACAGAATCAATGATATCTGCAAAATTAGGACTGTCCTGATTTTGCTCACACAAATATCTCAGTCTGCTATTGTCACTGATAATTCAACAATGAAAACACAACAAAATACACTTCATAACAATTGGTTTCCAGTTTAATTATATTTAAGTTACTTGACATGCCAAACCCCGAGTGACATCAGATACTGTGCGCCCCTATAAATTAGTATGACAATCAAGCTAGCCTTAGAAACATTAATGTACACATCTCAGCTGACAGCCCGTCTGCCTCGGTAAAAAGGGTTTTCTAGTTTCCCTTTAGATCACCATTGTTGCTTGCAATTATGGCACACACTCAATGTTTGATAAAATATAATTAGAACATAGACTCAAACAGCATTATAGTGAGCTATAGGCTGTAGTTAACATGTTTATGCTAACTCATAGTAAAGTTTAGTACAACCAAACAAAAGTATTAGAAAAAACAGATCACCCTGTTTATTCAAGATCAATCTCTCCACCCTTAATTCAGAATCAGACATCCGCACAGAGGTTGCTTTGGTTGTTCATTCCTCTACTTTAGATCTTCCATTTGTAAATTAGATAGACTATTAAGTGCTTATTAAACAGCAGCAGTATGGGAAATAATTCATACTGATGAAAAATGTTACAGACGAAGCACAGCAGGTACTCAGTAATACATAATTATTCGAGGAACATTGAAAATTTTATAGCACCAAAAATAAGAAAACTACTGATGAGCTGCTCAGCACTCATATATAGCAAGCAGAAACTCAAATTGGATCCTAGGCCTGGTCTACACTACCATGGGCCATCAATCTAAGTTACGCAACATCAGCAACTTCACTGCAGTGAATTGATGACAGTCGCTCTCCACTCAACTCCACCTACAATTCTTGTCCTGGTGGAGTACTGGATTGGACGGGAAAGCGTTCAAAAGTTGATGTATCGTGTTTAGATACAATAAAAGTGACATGCACACATTCTGCATCAATTTCTGCCTATCGATCTAGTGGGTAGTGTAGATATGCCCCCACCCAGTCTTCACAGTCATTGGCATAATCTTGTTTCCCCAGTAGCGACTTCTGAAGAGTCAGTACGTAGATTCAGTGAAACTCAGGAGTAAAGATTTCAATTATAATCAGAAGAAACATAGGTTATACAGAGTATAGAGTAATACCTGCGTCCTCTCACTAAAAGTCGTGAGGCCTTCCCAAGTAATTCTACAGCCTGCTGTAAACGTTCTTCATTCTAAAAGAGTAGGACAAAAGTTTTACACATTTGTGGCTTTAACTCAATCCAACTTAATTCTAACCCGCTTTTAAGCTGCTCCCCGTGAGCACCAGAGGTATCACAAGTAGCAGCGCAGGGGGGAAGGAGGTTCCCCAGGAGCCAGTGCTCATGGGAAGCCTGCTTAAAAGCTGAATCCCCATGAGCACTGATCTCCACCTGTTTTCTGCTGCCTCTGATACAGAGGCAGCAGTTGCAGCAAGGGGGGGGGCACTTGTGTGTAATCATGAAGGAAGCCTGAGCTCATCCGTTTAACTGTGTACATTATCACATCCCTACTCTAGACCAGCCAAGAAGTGGAAGGAAACTGGTTAGGAGATGAAGTTTAGCTCCTGTAAAGTGGGAGATAGAGCTACATCTTTTAAATATCTGAGTATGAGCTGAGACTTCCTGTGCAATGTTATTCACCCACTACTGTGATAGAGAACAAAACAGAGCACAGAACTCAACTTCATGTTATAGCTATCTGTGTGCAGTTATTGGGAGGCTGACTGACCTTGAGCATTTCTTCCTTCCATTCGCTCTTTATTTCCTTGCCAATATTTATTTTTTCAGTGTTCAAATTAAAATGGTAGTACTTACTTCAAACACCGATGCTGTCTGCTGATAAAGCTGTACAGCCTTTTCCGGGTTCACACTTTCTATAAGCCTATAATAAATGCAAGCCAGCATTATTATTCTTCCGCTCTCATAATAAAGTTTTCACCTATTAAAAGATTCAGCTAGAAGTCTATAGAAAGATAGCACCAATGATTTGTCCTAGCTGTCAACACTGCAGGCTTACTTTCCAGCCCGTTCCAGTGCAATAGCTGCTGTGTCAGGTGTCCCATTCTCCAGGTACATCATACTGGCCTTCTCAATCAGCTGAATTGCTTCAGGAAGTTTCTGCATTTCCTGTAAGAAAAGTTGGAAGAATCACAGTGTCAGAAACTAAGCTACTATAACAAACTAAATAAAAGGATTCTGTATTGTATTTGTACAGTTCAGTGCCAGGGAAAATATACACAACACCACAATACAAACATGCAAACAAGAGACCCCTCCTGCTTTGCCCTACACATATCTATGATGAATCAGAAAAGCTGACTGATGATGTTTTCAGGATTAGCTACATGATGAAATAACTAAGTACTCGCTCAGTGGAGTACAAAACCAGAGCAGTTAGCCTTTTTTTCCTCTTTGTCGAGTTGGAATAAATTGGTTTCCAGGTAGCGAAACTTTACAATTTAGGAAGGCACATCATCAGAAGTGGACATATATACAAACTTTTTATAGGACTTGATTTGAACTCTGAAATAATTCTCTGAAAATCTTTTAAACTGATCAACATCTGAGTTACAAGGTCACAACTGGCTATGGTAGTCAATTACCTTATTTTTATTTTCTATCCCCTACATTTTTTTCAATTACTGGTTAAACCCATTCAGGAAGCTGCATAGTTATCAAGTCCTTATTGCATTAGTCACTATCGGGAGTCTGACAAATTATATTAAAAAACAATTCCTATTGACTAAGATTTATGTTGAGCTAAAGCAGGAGGGCTAAGAGTTATGGGAGCTGTCACTGGGAACTACAATATGTAAGTTTAGCAAAGGATCATGAGGTAAATAACAGGGATGTAAAATCCTGTTTAATTGGTTAATCGGATAAACATAATTTTATATTTAATTGGTTAACCAATTAAACTAGTTGAGGCTCACTGGGCTGCTTCAGCTTCCACCAGTTAACTATAACCAGTAAGTCTCACCTTTTAAGGGTGGTCTACGTAAAGTATCTTACTATGTTTACTGATCTTATGGCAATTCTCAACTGATGTGAAATAAATATTATGTGCCATGCAGAATATTCCACAATGTTAGAAAAAGCTAATGATTTTGGACTATGTAAAGAAGATACATCAAGAATGTTGGTCAGTGATAGCACAACTTTCAAGTGTTTGCTGCTCCTGTGCTGAAAAGTTAGTCAGCAGCTTTTATATAAGAAATCATCAATCCAAATATATACCTATACCACCCACAGGAACTATTTTTCCTCTTACAAACATTTACAAGAATTCTTTCTTTTCCTCATACTGTCTACACTGTAGACAACATGCCAAAAATCTGTAGAGTGGAAGCAGAGCTATGAAATGGTAGTGACGCCTCTCTGCCCCTCAGCCTAGCGGAACTACTTGTACGGAAGTCAGATACCACAGTGAAAGAGAACAAGTAACTGGCTGCTCCTGACAACACTATCAATCCTGCTAACTCCCAGGAACTAAGAAGTTAACAATGACCTTGTCATCATTAGCCATTTTATGTCACTCAGAAACGGAGGACAGTTCTAGTGGGAGAATATCATGGAAGAACTCAGGAAGGCAGTATAGGATTGTTCTCACATGGATAGCTCTCTGACTTTGTGGAGCTTTGAAAGTAGAGATGAGTATAGTACAGCCCTGATCATTCTACAGAGGCAAACTCTCCTCCCTTCATAAGAGAAGGAAGGAATATCAAATTCAAATCCAAGTTCCTGACTCTTATGGGGCGTAGCCTTAGTAGAGGACAAGACCCAATATTATTTATTGGAAGTAAAAAAGATCTGCTGATCCAATGAAGTATATTAATTACACTCTTTGAAATACATACTAAATTCAAAACTTCCAGATTTTGATTTTTCAAGTTTCAACGATAAAAGAATGTTGAATTATTTAAAATTCTTGGGAGGAAAAAAAAATGTCAACAATGAAAGTGCTAGTACCACATTAAACGAACACTGCATGAAAATTGCATTTATTTTCAAATATAACTGTCCACAGACTCATTATTTATGTATTTTGTTGAAAACAAGTGACCAGTTAAATAAGTAACTGTAAAGTTAGGTTTACTCAGTGTTATTTCATTAAGTTTAAGCAACATGTCTTAAAGGTGAATCAAGTATTATCACTGAAGTGATTATGCTTAGTGACACACATTTCATACATAGCTTTTATTTAAAAAAAAAGTTTCTCACTTACGTGAGAGTGACAGATATTGCAACCCCAGGTGGTATCTCTGGGGAGCATTGTAGTAAGTTTATGAAGTTTACTCAGTGTTATTTCATTAAGTTTAAGCAACATGTCTTAAAGGTGAATCAAGTATTATCACTGAAGTGATTATGCTTAGTGACACACATTTCATACATAGCTTTTATTTAAAAAAAAAGTTTCTCACTTACGTGAGAGTGACAGATATTGCAACCCCAGGTGGTATCTCTGGGGAGCATTGTAGTAAGTTTATGAACAATTTATGTATAATTGCGTTCAACTCCATGGAGAAGCAACTACAATACCACTTCTGGAACTAAAAACAGTAGACAATTAAGGCCCAGTTACTGATACTTCAAACAACTCAAAGGGCAAACCACCCTCAGCAAGAGTTTGCATATACTGATTCGAGCTGGGTTTTCCAGAGGCTCAGAAACAAAGAAAGGACTTTGATATAAAAGGCTGTGTTTATAATAGTCCTTCTTTCTGACTCAGCAAAGAGTCACATTATTATCCAAT